GCAAATTATACCTGCATATTTGAAAATGCTAGTTGCATATGAATAAATGATTATTTAACATGGAAAGTGTTGTTCTTAATATTTTTAAAGCCACTGACAGCATCATATATCAAACTATGTATGCAAACACACAGAAGACATCGATGGTATTTATCAAAATGTCTCCTATGTTCACAAGATATGTTGCTTTTCTTTTTTTTTTTTTAATTTTAAAGACCTCACCTTGTTGGAGGGGAAAAGGTAATTAAGTTTAGTTATTTATTTTTAATGGGTATACTGGAGATTGAACCCAGGACTTCGTGCATGCCAAGCAGCACTCTACCACTGAGCTATACTCTCCCTGCTACTGCTTTACTAAAGTAGCTCTATCTTATACATATTTGGTTTTGGTCTTAGTTTCTTTCCTTTTTATTTTTGTTTCTTAAAAAAATATATATTTATAGAAAATTTACAAGAAGAGTGCATGAAACTTTTCTTTTTAACCTGAACCATGTAGAGTAAGTTGACCTGATGCTAGATTTAGCATTTATTTACTACAGCATAACATTCTCCGACAGAAGATCTATGAAACAATTAAACTGCCATCTAATCCAAAAACCGCAACTAAATTTTATCCTTATCCCAAAAATTCCCTTTACAACAAAAGGATGCATACATGGCATTTATTTGCTATGTCTTTACTGTCATTTAGTCTGGAAAGTTTCCTTAATCACTCCTGTTTTTCATGGCTTTGACACTTTGAAGGCTATTTTGTAGATGGTACCTCAATTTGGATTTGTCTTCCATTTCCTCATGCTAGATTCTGACTATGCATTTTTGGCAAAAAATATCACAGTAGTTATTCTATGTCCTTCTCATTGCCTCTTTCTGGAAGTATGCAAGTTTAATTTTCTCACTGCTGTGATACTAACTTTGATCACTTAATTGAAGTGGGATCTGCTAGTCCCAACAACTGGAAAGCTATTTTTTTAAATTTTGTAATTAATTAATAATTTGGGGGTAGGTACCTTAAGACAATTTTGATTTAATTTTTCTTGTTTAATTTTCACACACCTGTTAGCAACCACTGATGGTCCCTAGCTGGATTAATTTATATATAATGTTTGTTAAAGCTGGATAATGGATGTTTTTAACATACCCCATCTTTTTTTTAAATGTCCTTT